GCTGGAGCCCAAAAGTGCTTGCCCTCACTCCTGCACCTGCCCATCTGTGTGCTCCCGATCTCACAAGGGTTTTGAGCATGCAGCAACCAAACAGACAAGCAGTAACCCTGTGGCATGTCTTGTGATGGGGTCAGGGAACTCTCCTGTTTTAATATCATGAATGTCATAGGTTAGTTTGTGCTCTCCCAAAATTCATATATTTAAGTTCTAACCACAAGAACCTCAGAATATGACTGTATTTGGATATGGGTGCTTTGAAGGGGTAATTTAAAGTAAATGGGGTCACTAGATTGTACCCTAATCCAATATGGTTGGTGTCTATAAAAGAGATTAGTAAACCAATACACAGAGGGGACATCATGTGAAGACAGAGAGAAGACTGCCATCTCAACAGAAAGGCCTCAGAAGAAATTAACATTGACACCTTGATCTCTGAGGTCTAGCCTCCAGAAATGATAGCAAATAAATTTCTATGATTTTAGCCACCCAGACTATGGTGCTTTGTTATGGCTTCCCTAGAAAATTAATTCACTGCAAGTTCCAAATCAAGACCTTCCTCTGGGAAGCCTCCCTCTAGGGAGGGAAGAAATTCTACTGTCTTTTGGTCTTCAATGCATGCTATTTCTGTCCCCACTGCAAGACTTGCTACTTTTCATCCCAATTATTCATTTGCACGATGACAATCAGGCCAAACTTAACAATAAAGCCTGAGAACCAATTCCCAGACGAAAGAGGGTAGCTATTTCAAGCTTGCTACTTCTGCATTATATTCCACACACATTTATTGGATTTTTAAAAAAATGCCATGTTTTCATTGTCATTCTTTTGTTGAGCAGCATTAATAAGTGAAGTGAAAAAACCTCAATGTATTTTTCAATGAATAAATAACAGGTCTGTAGACTGCACACATTTCTATTTTTTTTTCTGATTTAATCTGTTTTTTATAACCCTCAGCCTCTTCATTAGAACTTGAGCTCCTTGAGGGCGCCAGTGTCTAATTAATCTCTTTAGCCCACCACCTAGCACCACTGCCCCTGGAACCAAGCAGGTGTTCAAAGGATATTTGTTATGAAATCAATCAATAAACGAGCAAATTATGTTTTAATATCACATATTAATTGTGTATAAAAATAATTTTTAAAATGTATAAAATTCTCTATAATCAGGAAGAAAATTAGGTAAGTGGATTGAAGGGAGAATTTTATAAAACTTGATACCACAGGTATGGTCATTTTCGCTTTTCACATTTCACTTTTCAAGTCATTTGCAGACCTCGGTTGGGGGAAAGTAGATGAGTACAGGGGTGTGAGGAGGGCCCGATAAGATGGATCAGACAGAGATGGTATATGGAATTTTAATATCTTGCCTAATAAGGTTACAGTCTAGTATGAATTTTACGTTTTGGGTGGAGAGAAGACTTATCTGGTAAAATCAGAGGTTTAGACATATCAAAACAATAAATACATTCTAATGGAAAGTAAAGCTTGTCTGTGCAGTGAAATAAAAAATAAATCCTTAACTTTGAAACTTTTGGCACTTAGTTACCCATTGAAAGTAATTGTGAAGTTTGTAAGTTCAGCCTTAACGGGTTATTATTCTTGTCTCAGATTTACAAATTTGCCATATTCTGCTTAAAACTCTCACGGAGAACATCTGGAGTGGTACAATTATATATTTTCTCAAAATTATTACTTTTCAAATCTATTCATAATTGGACTCCTAAAAGTTATCTTCATTAGATTAAAATATATCATATTATGTGCTATGGTTAGTTCAGCCTTTGTTCCCAGAAAAGTTTGAGACCTTTTCATTTCAGAAAAAATGAATTTTAGTACACCCTAATCTAATTTTGCAAAGACTAGTGCATATAGAAATATCTGGGATTTAAAGGGATTAAGGCAAGGATTTCAAAGGTGAATCTAGTTCTTGAATTAAAATAATCCTTGAGAAACAAAGATTTTATTCATAACTGCTGATTCCAGAGCAACTAAGAATAGAATAGTCATCAAGATATTGCGAATAGGGCTAGAAAAAGTTGGTCTAAGGTCAGATTCCCTAGAGGTAAATCATGAGATCAGAGTTCATGTGCAAATGTTTGAGGAAGTTTTCCCTTGGGTGACAGCCAGGGAGTAGAGGAGGCAAAGTAGGGAAGGGGAAAACGCCAAGCAATGACGGAACTCAGGCAAAGTCTGCAGAGGGTGGTGTCAGTCTGATTCCACTGGTGAGCTCTGAAACATAAGTTAAGCCTGGAATTATCCTTATCTAAGGCAAGAATACTGGGGAGTACTTATACCTCACAATGGCTAAGGGTGAGGATTGGGGGTTGGTGGTGTCGGAGTTGGAGAAAGGGCAATGAGGTACAACTAATTAACATCAACATACCATTGCATTCTTCCAGATTTTTTTCTGATACTAAATCTGACCTTAAACCATCACTCAGAGTAGGTGGAAGCAAAGACTTATGTAATTTTGTGAGCCTATCATCTAGTACATTATCTGGCATAAAATAGGTAATAAAAAATACATAAAATGAATGATATCAGCAAACATACAGATCCTTTGTTAGCCCATCCAACTTTTTTTTCAACAAACAAAATGCTATGTATTCATTCAGTAAATACTCATTGAAGATCTCCTATGTCTCTCATATGCCAGGCACTGGAATGTATCTTGGAGGTTTAGCATTGGACCAGAACAACTGAGTGTCTTGTCTCCACAAAACACTCTCTATATCCAGGGAGGCAGATATTAGAAAATATATTGATATAAACAATTAATAAAATCTAGTCGTGATCAGTGCTAAAAAACAAAGGTATAAGGTGGGAGCATAAAATGAGCAAGGACCTAACCTCATCTGGAAGGGTGAGGGGCTTTCGGAAAATACTAATATTCTAACCCCAAATTTTCAAGATTCCAAGTGTTTCAAGATCTTAGGCAGCTTTTACTATACACAACTAGATAGCAATGGCCAGAGTCTCCTTGAGGAAAGGAAAGCAACAGCAAGGTACTTTATCTGAGGAAGAGTTACACTCCTCACCACAGTAAGCACTCAGTAGCATTTCTGATTTAGTGGGAGACCTTGAGGGTCCCAGGACTTTGTGCAGTAATCCAGAGTGTTCACAAAGGGGAGAAGTAATTAGGAGATAGATGGAGGTACTTCCAGTTCACATTTAGCCTATTCTATGCTATTTCTAGTCTTTTGAGCTCTTTCTTGAAACAGAGGTTAGAAAATCACATAAAACAAATCCTTTGTGATTGCAGGACTGAAATTATAATGTTTGGGTCTCATGAAAAGTTGGCTATACCTAGATTTATGTAATCTGGTTTGCAAAAACATTGCAAGTCAGCACATCGATTCTATTTTTTCTGAACCTGGGAGGCATGAACAATGTCCTACAGAGAAGCTTAACATGTGGAATGACTAGGGAATAAAACATTAAATCGACAAATGATGACTGAAATGTGAGAATAAATCAAATGACAATTTTCTTTTTGTGCCTGTGATCCTATTATGCACTGTAAAAAATTACAAAATCTCTAATACATATCTAATGGGAATTGAATAGAACTTTAAACCAATGTAACTGGAGACATGACAGTGGAATAATTTGTGTTCATGGTGATGGTTTCCTTTCTCTGGAATTCCTTTTCTTGCCCATGTTGAAGGCAGTCCTACTGTACCACTCTACAAAGCCCTGACCTCACAGGCTTGTGCTGAGAAGTCTCCTATGGATATAACTAACAATTTCCCCTACCCTAAAAACAATCTCATACATCACTGTAAGTTAAAGCACCTTAAAACAGAGATAAATGTTACAGTAAGTTTGACTTGGATGTCTTCTGCCTTCAAGATTGGCATTCTTTCCATTTCACCATGTTCCTTTTTTAAAATGAAATCTTAGAAGTAATTTAATCCATTCTTCCCTATAAACAGTCTCTTCCACAATCCTGAAGGCAGTTATCGTACTGTTCACTTAAGCGCTTCCAGCTCAGAGGATTTTAATACTAAAAAAAGTTGACTGCAATGTTGAATACCTCTAATTGTGAGAAAGTCTGCTCTGAAATGAATTTCACCTCCCTGCAGCTTTCAACTGCCCTCGAAGCTAGGTATAGCAATTTTGTCTCCTATTCTACAAGAAAAATCTTCACATTTGAATAGACTTGTGTCTTCCCTCAATTTCCCTTTTGCTAAAGAAACATTCCTAGCTCCCCCAACTCTTAAATCTGTAGGATTTTCATATGTCCTCTGGGCATATTTCAATATGACAATGTTTCTGTTAAAATGTGTTGTCCAAAATAGAATGCAATAACTGAACACTGTAAAGAGCCATACATTGGTAAAATGATGTAAAAATTTTTTTTAACAGTTGCATCACAATTTGGGGCCACATTTTTGTGTATAATAATAGTTTTTTAGATGAAATTCTGTAATTGTGTAATTTATATTTTGAACTTAAAGCAATTTACAAAAAGTTCTCTTTGTTAAATAGAATTTTGTTGATTCTAATGTAGTGCCCTAGATCACTTCAAATCTCAACTACATCATCTACCTAAATAGTCCACTGTAATTAAATTTTTAAAAAAAATTATTAATCACTGTGAATACACAGTAGGTATATATATATTTATGGGGTATATGGGATGACCAATGCAATTTTGTGAGAGCTGCAAATTTAGAAATCATACCTCCCCTAGTTCTTTGATGAAAATATGAAGCAGAATGTATCAAATGCAGAAGCTTTGGTCAATCCATGGGCACACCTCATTCAGGTTGGCATTCAAACTAACTTCCATAAGTTTAAATCCATTTCCTCCATTCTTAATAGTACATCTGAGTCTCCATAGCACACTATTGCCTAATCATATTCCACTACTTTATTCATTAACATGGACATGTTATATAGTTCTCTAAAATAAAATACGCATGTTTTGAAATATCAACCCAACACAATTTTCATTTAGAGAGAAGATTTGACTTTTTCTTTATGAATCTCAATGTTTCAACAAACATTTAATGCTTTAGAATTAAATGTATGTATTAATAGCCATTTTAATACTTGCCCGTTGACCAATACTAATTTTCTGAATCTTCGTCCATTGCATATGTGACATTAGTCACAGAGAGCAGCATTTCCCTATCTCCTGTCTTCTTAAGACCAATTTATTTGCCACAATTGTACAAAGATAATTGCAGTGATTTCAAGATTGCATTCAATACTATTAATAGAAGTTATTAGAGTATAATAAACATTCTTATAAAGTTATTCCTTCACACTTGAGACATATCTATAGTATAATTAATAATAATCACACTATTAAATATTTATCAACTCCTAAAATGTGTAAATTGCATTACATGCATGGTTTCATGTAATCTACAGAATAACCCTGTGAGGCAATTTTCCTATTGCTATCTTGTTTTCAAACGAGTAATTTCAGGCTTACAAAAATGAAGAACTTCAAGGGTACACATATAAAAATGGAATAGCAGGAACTTGCCTCCAGTTATTTCTGAAACCGAAGTTCTTAATCACTACATTGCAGTAAGTAGATTTCTAGAAAAGAATTTGCTTTATCAAAGGACATGTACATTAGACATATTGATAGATACTAGAAATTGCCTTTTTGAAAGCATGTGGCAATTTATAAACATACGAATAATATGTTTTAGTGTCCTCAACAACACTGGCTACTATTAACATTTTCTTTTTGTTAGTGGTATCTTTTTGTTTTGATTTGCATTTCCACTCACTTATGGCTGAGAATTCTTAAATTTGTTTAGTGACATTTTGCTTTTATTTCTGATCGATTTATGGAAACTCTTTGTATATTAATAATAAGACATTGTGTACTAAATGTACTGCAAACATTTATTTCCATTCTTAGATTTTTGCTTTTTTAAAGTACCTTTGTGGCTTGGGTTCTTTCTTTAGGGAGTTGTATTTTTTTTCCCCTCAACTCAAAGTTATAAAAATAATTTTCATGTACTATTGCTAAGCTTGTATATTTAACCCAATCTTTGTAGAATTTCAATACAATTATATATAGTTTGTAGAATAGAGTAGTAAGAGGTCATGTTCACCATCCAGAGGCATCAGGCTTTAATTTTAATAATCTGGATCACCTTGGGAAAGCTTATTAACCTCTTAGTGCCCTAGTACTTTTGCATTTAAAATGGGGCTAATGATAGTACCTATCCTACAGGGCTTTTGTAAGATTTAAATGAGTTAATACATGTAGTATACTTAAAAGTATTCAAATGCTAGCTTCTATTTTAAATTTATCTGGTATATACTTACATATATATATATGTATATATAGATATATATATATATAAATCTGGTGATACACACACACACACGTATGTATATATATTTGTTTTGGTAGAAGTTCGGAATCTGAGTAATTTTTTTCCAAGAATGAGAAAGCAATAGTTCTTACAGCCTTGATTAAATTTTGAATAATTTCTTCATGAATTCACTTTATTATACTCTTAGATTCCATTTGTATAATGATGTGTTTCCAACATTTGTAACATTTATGCCTCTAATCTTTATACCAACCTGTTATTTTAGTTTTTAACACATAAAGAAAATGAGGTTTGGAGAGTTTCTATCAACAGATAAAGTTAGTGAGATTATAAGTTATTTGAAGTTTACCCACATCTCCCCAAAATGGCTACATTCTTAGAAGTGGTCTTGTTTCTGCAAAGGGTACGTACATTAAAGATGATGTCTCCACCATATAAAGCTGCCTTTTATTGTGAAATACTTATGAATGGATTGTATTTTTAGTTGTTATATATTTTTTGATATACTTTTTGTAATGTAATATTATATTACTCATTTTTTTAAAGACTACCACCCCACTCTTTTGAGGGACACAGAGGCAGGAATCATGGCTGATGCATGTTTGTATCCCCAGTGTCTAGCAGTGCCCATTACATAGTCAAAAATCAATACATGTGTATAGAAAATAATTTTATTTTTAAAATAATGCACAGTCATGTTGCACCATAGCTCAAAATCCTACAACGTCTTGTGGCTTCTAATCAATTCCAAAACCTTGTCCTCATTTATAGGTGCCTTACAGAATGGCTACATGTTAAATCATCTCTCCCACTGAAATCCAAAATAGTCCTTTACTTTAGGCATCTGGTTGATCTCACCATCTCAGAATACCTATGTTAATTTCCATTTCTTCCCCATTAATTATAGCTTTTATCATCAAAATTTCCTTATGAAATTTTCCTTCAGTTCTTAGAGCACATTGATTTTTCTTTCTTCCTGAGCCAGCAGTTAGGATTGTTTAATTTTAGAGGTGCAAATGATCTTTGACTTGATCTAGGTTAAACCCTTCATTTAATAATGAGGAAATGGATGGCTAGTGAGGTTACGAAACTTCCCCTTAGAGTATTCTTAATGACTGTGGCTCACATTTTAGTTTTCAATTTTGTATTCCTCTTTAATTTTGTACCAATGGGATTAAAAGCTCCTGTGGAGCTAGAACTAGCAGTAGGTTCAGCAATTTATTGAATAAATATTAATTAAGTTCCAACTATGGGCCAAGCAATATTCTAGAATTTATAGGGATGCAAAACTACTAGAGATATGAGTTTGGATTTCATATAACTATAGACTGTGGATGATACAGTTATTAACCAAATAATTACAAAATAACTATAGATTATTATACTATTAAAATTGTGATAACTCTTATCAAAGAAAACTAAATAATATTATGGAAAAAGACCCTAGAATATTTAGTCCAGGCTGGAAAAGAAGGAAACAACTTCTTGAGGAAGTGATATTTCAACTGATACCTGAAGAATGAATACAAATTACACAGGAAAATTTCTTCATAAGCAAAGAAATTTAAGTTTCAAAAAATTGAGCCTGAAAGTCGTTTGGAATTTTACAGAAAAAGAGAGAAACCCAGTGTGGTTGGAGAAATCGAATGAGGGGAATCTGAGGCAGGAAACTGATTAGGCAAGAAAACTATGTTAAACCCTATTGTGCAAAGTTTGTCACTGAAGTTCAATCATTGAGGATTTAAAATCTCATACAAAGTGCTACAGAAATCTTTGGGAATGTTATTACAGAGAGTTATGCCATTACTTTTAGACTAAAAACACTTGCTATGAGTTTTAAATATTTTTTTCTTTTTCTTAAAAACGAAACATAAGCAAAATGGAAATGGGAGACCCTAACCTAGCCTGGGGAAGAGAAGCAGATAGTTTGGCTAAACTGACAGCTGTAGAGAGGGAGAGGTATATATGAATACAGGAGGTTTGAGTAGGTGGTATACACCGGACTTGATACAGGGACAAGGAAATGTAATAGATATTTCCTGTTTTCCAATATCCCACTGGATGAAAGAAGATGATATTTGTGACCTTCAGGCAATTGAGGAGTAAGGATGATCAAAATTTCAAATGCAGGCCTACTATAAAGACTGAGAGGTTTGTGAGATAACCAAGTGAACGCATTACATAGTAAAAGAAGATTGGTGATATAGTTAAAGGAATATGAACCTCAGAATTATTGACATCATAATCAGTGTTTATCCACAACACCAAACAAAATCACTAGGAAAAGAATATAAGCTATAATCTTAATGAATATAGATATTTTGAGGTGAAGTAACTAGAAATACCAACAAGAGTCTGCCAAATATCTATCATGTAAGGTGAAAAACCAATATACGATACTGTCAGGAAAGTCAAGAACAAATAGTATATACGACATAGAGTTGAAATTTTTAAAAAAGTATGTTTTAATGATAAATGAATGGAACTATTCATCTATATTGCGTGTTGCCAACAAGTCAATTAAGATGAGATCTGAAAAGCATTCATTGAATTTGACAATAAGAAAATCAATGATGACCTAACAAGCATGGTTTTGGCAATGGGGATAGAAGAAATGGAAGTTTAAGTATATCAAATTCAAGTTGGTTGAAGAATGAATAGGCTCTAACTTATAAAACTAACCAAAACTAGTATTCAGAATATACAAAGAATATCTACATATTAAGAATAAAACAAACATTATTCAATAGAAAAGTAGAAAAAAATATCAATGAGTAATTCACAAAACAGGAATCTTAATGCTAAAAACATATGAAAAAATGTCAAAATAATAGTTAGAAAAATGTGACAGTGATACAATGAAATACTGTGGTAGGCAGCTTCTAAGATGGCTTTAGATGATACCCACTCCCTGGTATTTATGCTTCTGTGAAACTCCGGCTCCTTGTATGTGGATGGACCTAGTAACGTGCTACTACTGAATAAAATATGAAGAACAGTATCAAGAATCTTTTTCTGAGATAAGGTTACCAAAAGGCTGTGACTTTTGTCTTGCTCATGCTTTCTAACTCTCTTGCTTGCTTTGAATGTAATCAGCTGTCATACTGTTAGCTGCCCTATAGAATGGTGCTTGTGGCAAAGAACTGAGGGAGGCCTCTTTCCAATAGCCAATGAGAATCTGAGACCCTCACTATAACGGGCATTAGAAACTGAATCCTGCTAATAACCACATGAGTAAGAATGAGTGAATCTTCCCCAATAGAACCTTTAGACAAGATCCCAGCCACAGCTAAGTTCTTAATTGCACCCTATGAAAGAACTTGAGACAGACATACACATTTAGACCAAGCCTGGAATCGTGATCCACATACATTGTAAGATAAATCCTTCTATTTCAAGTCATTTAAATTTGGGGTAAATTTGTTATGCAGTAATACATAACAAATATGGAAACCATTATATACTCTTCAAATAAATATTTAAAAGTCTGATTAAAATGAATATTATTTAAGTATATGGAGAATGAAAACGTATCCATGTTCTGATAATAGGAGTTTAAATTGTTTTAACTTCTTTGAAAACCACTTTGACTATCTATCTCTAGTAAGGTTGAAGATTCTGTACCTTCAGGCTACCAACCCCTCTTCTAAATAAATACTTTTATTTAAGCAAAGAAATATAAATAAGTGTGCACATTGTAGGACTGCTTATATGAATGAAAACTAAATATCCATCAACTTGTGAATGGATAAATAAATTTTGATATATTCATGTTTTGGAATACTAATGGTAACACAAACAAACTAGATTTGCATGTATTAACATAAAGTACAAAAGTATAATACTTTGATATAACTTATGTAGATATAATAAAACATAAATTATGCTTTTATATAGATATGAGATTAAAAGATTATATATTATTTATGAATAGATACAAATATTATAAATTATAAATATTAGGGTGGAAAACATATATATCTATCTTATGATAATAATCAACCTTGGGAATGAAAGAATGAATTAAATGAGGTGAACTTTAGCCATATGTGTGATATAATATTTCTTTAGGAGAAAAGAGCCTAAGAAAATTTCACAAAATATCAACATAATTAAACCTGGGGAATGTGAGCATATAGCTATGTATTATATTATTCTCTTTGCTTTTCAATATATTGAAGATAGTTCATAATATTTTAAACTTTGAGAATTTTGAATCAGAATTAGGTGGAGACGGTGTTTGTAGCAAACACTTTCAAGAAGTCTGATGGTAAAAAACAGGAAAATATTATAGACAGCTGAAGAATTTGTGAAGTCAAGAAAGAAGTTATTGCTTTAAATATAAAAGTATATGCTTTAAATATAAAAATCTAGAATATGTGTGGATTATAAGAAGAATAATTTGTGCTAATATAGAAAAGAAAGTTAAGCAAATAAAGGGGAAAAAGAAGAGGAGAACTTCTTCCCAAAAAGAAGTCCTTGGGAACACTG